AGGTCAAGGGGGGACAGGGAAATCTTAAAATTCTTCAGAAAACACAGCAGACCCAACCCCAACAAAAACCAACCCTGAACTCTACCTCTCATTGCGGTTTGAGCCAGTGGCGCTTGGTGCTAGGCTACATCGAGGAAGGGGAGCCCATCACCCTGGAGCTGCCGAAGCGCAATGCTTCGGCTTACATGGCCAGCCACTTCTTCCTCGACGATTTTCCCCAGAGCTCGGAGGCCCTGAGCGACCAACCCATGCCCCACACCCACGTCAACCCCGCGGAGGCCTTCGAGGCCAATGACGAGGGCTACCGCGGCCAGCCCTTCCCGCGGCCGCCTAGGGAGATGCTTCGGCAGCGCAGCTTCTTCTCCGACAGCAGCAGCGACTTCGGGGGCGTGGACCCTGCACAGGCGCTGCGCATGGACGGCTTTGACGCGCCGCAGCCGCCGACCTTCGGCAGCCGCCTGCGCGAGTCGGGCATCCAGGCGGCCGAGACGGCCATCGCCGGCATTGGCCTCGGCGCGCGGCAGTTCGCCGAGGGAGCCACGATCCGCGGCCTGGCCCGCGGCGAGCAATGGCTGGACAGGACGCTTCGCATTCCTAGGACGCCGGAGGGGCTGGCGCCGCCGCCCGACGAGGTGGCCCCGCCGCAGATCATCGGCAGGCCCAGCGAGGTGGAGCCGCTGCTGGAGCGCGCCGGGCAGAGAGCGGCGCTGCAGGAGGCCAGGGCCATCCAGGACATAGAGGCCTTCACCCAGGGCCAGATGGCGGAGGCGGAGGCAGAGGGCTTCGCAAGCGCTGCTGAGGCTGCGGCCTCGGGCGCCGAGGCAGCCGCTGCAGCGGAGGCAGGCGCTGCAGGCGCCGGAATCTTGGCGACCGCGGGCGAAGCAGCGCTGGGAGTCGCGGGAGCGGCGGGCGCGGCAGCGGGAGGCCTCGCGGTGGCGGGGGCAGCGGCGGCGCTGGTGGGCACGGCATGGGCCATTGAGGGAGGCCTCAACGCGGCGAGCCACCTCATGGGCTTTTTTGGGGGCGCCGGGGGAGGCACCGACAGCGACCAGAGCCGGAGCAGCGGCGCGGTGGACATCATGACTCTGAACGGCATGCAGGAGTCGGGCGTGCAGCAGCACTTCGCGATGCACCAAAGCCAGCGCCAGCCCGAGGTGATCCGAATCGACTCGGACAGCGATTCCGCGCCGAGGGCCCAGCCGGCGCCGCGGGTCCGCGCCAGGGCGGCAAGGCAACAACCCTCGCCCTTCGGCCTGAACCCCATCCCCCTGCCGCGGCCGCAGGGCCAGTCCAGCGGCAGCGAGGGCTCCAGGATCAGCCGCCAGAGCCGCAGCGACCGCGGGCCCCTGGGCGCGGAGCCCTCGTTCGACCAGCTGAGGAGTGACCTCGAACTTGCCTGACCGCTATAGGGGAAAGCCAGGCGCGATGGAGAACGTCACCCAAGCCGTGAACGATGAGCTCATGCAGAGCTTGGACTACAAGCTCGCGACGTCCAACGTCAATTATGTGCAGTCGCGGCGTGACGTACAATATTTTCCATCTTCGCTTTCCACCTTCACGCCCACGACCTCCAGGGTGGCGCGCATCCCGCTGACCAGCGGCATGGATTTTTTGGACCCTGAGAGCGTCAAGATCGCCTTCAGGGTCAGGAACAACGACGCCACCAGCGACCTGTTTCCCGGCACCCTGGAGCCCAGCTGCTTCATCAAGAGGGTGCAGCTGTACTCCAACGGGCAGCGCACCGACGACATCTCCGAGTATGGGAGGAGCTGCTTCCTGTACTCGCTGCTGAAGCCGTAGGAGTGGTACAACCAGAGGAGTCTCGAGGGCTTCTGGCAAGACCCCGGCGGCAACGCGCAGGCCATCCCCGCCGGCGAGTACCGGGACGTGCTGATGGCGCCCACACTGATCGGGCTCTTCCAGAGCGGCAAGATGTTGCCTCCGCAGCTGAATCTGGTCCTCGAGCTGGAGTTCGCGGAGGCCGGGGACGCCCTGCGCCCGGCGGGCGGCACCTCCGACTTCAGCATCGAGAACGTGCGCGTCTTGGCCTCCCAGGTGACGCTGGACAGCGCCCTGGTGGAGTCCTTCAACAAGGTCCTCCTCTCAGGCCGCAGCCTGGTCTTCTCCTACCCAACGATGCACACCCAGGTCTCCAACGTGCCCGCGGGCGTCACCAGCCACAACGTTACCGTGGCCAGGGCCTACACCAAGCTCATGGGCGCCTTCGTCACCTTCCGGCAGACCACGGACTCCTTGGGCGAGTGCCGTAACCTGGAGTACCCCGGGCCCGGCGCGCACCCCTTCAACCTGGAGGGACAAATGCAGCTGGGAGCCCTCCAGTACCCGCGGTACCCGATCGCCAGCTCGGCGGAGTTCCACCACTTCTTGGAGATCATGGGCGGGACCTACGACTCCAAGATCAAGAACATGCGCATCGTGGACCAATTCTACCCCAATACCGAGTTCATCGCCGCCTTCCCCACGGAGCGTGTCCCCAAGCACCCACTGAGCGGAATCAGCACCCGGTCGGGCGACCTCGCGCGCTTCACCTTCCGGAACATGCTGGCGGACCGCGTCCAGCGCATGTACATCCACCTGGTGAGCTACCAAATTGTGACGCTGTCGGGCGCCGGCGTCTCCGTCTTGGACTAAGGAAACCATGAGCTTATTCGAGTCGACCATCACCGGGAACATCCTGAACAAGATCTCCGGAATCACCGCCGGGCAGCTGGCCACCGTGCTCACCGCTTACACGCCCCTGACCGACACGGCAGCCAACACCGCGGCCATAGGAGCCAACACCGCCGGGGTGGCCGCGAACGCCGCGGCCGTTTCCTCCATGCAGGCCCAGGTGGCAGGGCTCCCCGGCCCGCCGGACCTGACCCCCTCCGCCCTGGCCGCCGACCTGGCCGCCGCAGAGGGCTCCATTGCGGCCAATTCCTCCAGCATCACCGCCCTGAACACCCGCCTCACCACAGGGCTGGCGGGGAAGGCCAACCAATCCGCACTGGACGCGCTGCAGCTGGAGGTGGACGCCAAATCCACGCCCGCCTCCGTGGACGCCAGGCTGGCGAGCTACAGCACCAGCGCAACGATGAACTCTGCAATCACCTCCGCCAACAAAGCCACGTTGGCCACGGTGGGCAGCAGCTACG